CTGTCACTACAATATCCCCGGTATTGTCTTCTTTTAAGAGGACTGGACAGCTCGTCCACCCTCCATCTCTATTTTCCCTCAGAAAAGTTGAACAGTTAAACCTAAAAAAGAAAATGGAAGGAACTAGAAGAGGCTGCTTGTTAAAGTCTTTGCACAAATCTGAACAGCTGGTTCGATTTTTACCCCAAACTGGCCTAAAATTGAATAAAACCCAGGTTGTTTTACTGCCTGCTTTTATTAGGAGACAATTTAACAACCAAATGTGATTCCAATGTCTGATTAGGCCAGCATATGGTGCCTTCCTGTTAAACACAATGTGCTCGGCAGCTCAACGCCTCAGTGAGCCTCTGGAATAAACTAATAAACCTAATATCATGTTAGTCATTACATAGTCCAAGACACAAGATTCCAATCTGGTAAGAAAAAAAAAAAAGGTGGTTTCATTATTATCACAGAGAAAACTCAAGGGAGATGGCGAGCGCTGTTTTAATATTATCATCAACTTTGTAAATTGTTATTCAATTAACTGCTTTTTGTTAATGAATCCAATTAATACAATGAAACAAGGAGGAAGATATATGATAATTATGCATCTGTGCAGAGTGCAGCTAATTACATCTGTAAATCAATCAATTCTACATTAATCAGGTTGGAAAATGTCCAAAAACAACAAAGTCACTAAAAGACTTTGAAAGTTTCTTTTTAACATATTTTGATTGCCATCCCATTATCCTGTCTAATGATTGTTAACGATCCTTTGAAGAGTTTATGATCCAATTTTCTTGCTATGAATTTAATTGCGACCCAAATAGTGTCTTACGGTGTAGAAGTCTGACGGTTTTTAATCAACAGTGATGTATCAGGGAAGGCACTAACAAGGTCACAGAACTCCTCGCCGGGCAGCGACGGGTCCTGAAGCTTAATGCTTGTGGATAGAGGAGGGTCAGACACGCTTGATCGGTTAAAGAAAACCAATAGATCGATCACTTCCGTGCAGGAAGCACAGCCTCTTCTGAATGTGGATGACTGGTCCTCCATGTTGAATGCCCTGCTGCTTTTCTGGATTAGAAATCGAGAGCTGAATGATTACTTTTAGTAAGAGTTATTCTGGTCAAAATGGCAGTTTTCCGTACTCCTGGTTGATTTAGATTTAAAATAAATCCCATTCAACAAAGACATTTCTTTCTGATACAGAGACAGTCATCATGTAAAAAGACATTAAACCAACCAACTTTGGCAGAACCATTTATTATGTTACTTCCATCTTGTCAAACCTAAATAAACAAATGAAACAAACATATATCAAATATGAAATAAATGTAATATAATATTTCCACATCGAGAGGAACCAGTTGAGGTGGCTCGGCCATCTGGTAGGATGCCTCCTGGACGTCTCCCTGGTGAGGTGTTCCAGGCACGTCCCACAGGGAGGAGG